TTGTGTTGCCAGCATAGTGCAGTTATTTTCTATTCTGGAAGCATGACAGGTTGTGCTTTACTATCACGCTCTTGTCCATTTATGCAATAAAAATAAGAGTAATGTCCATATTCACACTCTGGAGTGCACTACTATTTTCATCCTTTGCCACAATGCATGATAAGAGGAATTGTTAGGCAAATAGACAAGCAATTTCAATTTTATTATAATTACTTCAATCCACACACAAATAAGAAGCAATCTGACCACAAGTAACATTTATTAAGTTTAGCTTCACAAATCCCATAATTTTGTCTTTCAAAAACCTTTCTGTACGTACAAGTGCCCGCTTTATTTCAGGATAAAAACAAACAAACAAACAAAACCAAAAGTCAAACATTTGGATATGTCTGATATCACCACACTAGAAGCAGAACATGCGTGAAGGCGCTGCGGGAGACCAGCACTATGAGGACTAAAGACCACAAGATCATCTGTGTAAACAGTGTGGTTCACAAGAGTCCTGCCAGTCATGCAGCCACTGTGTGTGTGTGTGTGTGTGTGTGTGTGTGTGTGTGTGTGTCTGTTCTGGTGTTCTCATATTTGTGTAGTTTTGGGACAGTGAGGAGGGTTTCCGCCTCTGGGTTGCAGAGTGCAGAGCTTCAGTTGATGCTGGATCATTGTAGGACAAACAGTCAGTGTCACTCTGGCTTGTAAGTCAAGACCTTCCTTTTTGTGTTTTTAAAATTACGTACCCGTTTTCTCCTTTATGTCCAGGTATCTTGGGGAGGGGACAGCTCAGAGACTTTTTTTAAAATAGTTCTGGAAAAGCTGTGGAAGGATATTTTGTATTTGGAGAATCAGAACAGGAGCTGGGGATTACACTGCTGTGGATGTCACTTTTTAACTGGTTTTTTTTTTTCACCATTTTCACTTGTAAAAAATTCCCTGTTTCTGCTAAGAAAGTGCAGCTATTGAGTCCTGCTTCCCTGCTCAGTGGCAAAACCTTAAACTATTGGCTTAAAGTAGTTTGGTCATTCTCCTGACATCAACAAGGCATTTTCACCCAGATAACTGCCACTCACTGGGGATTTTCTCCTTTATGGTCTTTTACTAGTAAACCCAGATAACCCAGACCAACCTGTCAGCCATGCCACATTCAATCACCTTTCTTCCTGACGCTCAGTTTGAAGATGAATAATATAGCAGACCAGTCACTAATAAAAATGAGTCAATGAAATGTGGCCAAACCTGAAAATTAGACTTAAAATTGTGTTTATGTGAGTATTTTCTCAAACAAGTCAAAAATAAAGTTTGGATCCAGAGGAGATCTGTAGAGTTAGACCAGGATCTCTGAGTTTAGGGTTTCACTACAGTTAAATTCAATATCTTCATAAATTCATAAAAGTTACACAGTACATGTTGGGAAATAATACCAAAACTTACAGTGTATTATAAGATACTACAAAACAACAACAATACTGCATTTTGTTGCCTTTTATTTGTGACATGTGCAATGACAATAATTCTATTCTAGTCTAACAACAAACAAAGTAAAACTCCTGTGTCGTGGTGTTTGAATGTTTGTGTGTCTCTGTGAGTTAGTCATGTGACACAGTGGTGACCTGTCCACGTCTGCTTCTGGATGGAGGGTAATAATATTTTAAAAACAAACAGACAAATAATGCAGAGCTGCACCTCACAGTGTGTACTGACGATGTTTTCGCACCCAGCTGTGTTTTGTTCCTCTAGAAAGCCACATGTGGGACAAGCACAGGACAGCGAGTGATGGCTCAACATCATCAAAGGCCATGACTGGATCATCAACTCGCAGAGCTCTGGACACAAATATCCACTGCGACCTAACCAACTTGTTTTAATGATCAGACTTTTCTTTCTTCAATAATTAGTAATTAATAATAGTAGGAATGTGTACATACACGAATTCAAAGTACTTCTAAATGGAGAGCACTGCGTATCACAATACAGCTCCAATAAAAGCTTTAAAGCAAATCATAAAGCCAAGAAAATCTAATCAAGCCCAAACAATCTTTAATCTTTACTCAGATTAAAATACAAGAGAAAGTGAAGTCAAAGTCAAATGTATTTATATACTATGTTCAAAACAACAGAGCTGATCACTGTGCTCTACATTCAAAATAAATAACTTTTAAAAAACTATGTAAAATTCAGAAAAAGTGAGAACAGCAAACAACATTAAAAAAAAAAAACATTCACAGCTTCAGATTAAAATACGAGATACACTAAAACTACAATAAAAGTATCTGACATTAAATGAATCATGATGCAGCCAGAGCTTTTTCATGTTTTTATACCAAATAATTATTTTTTACACAATATAGATCTTTACACTCAGACAGTAAAAGTATTTGTGGGTGTTTATACCAGCACTTCCTAATGTAACTCTGCTGACTTTAAGTTGCTGCTATCAGTTACTAAAAATCACAGACTTTTTTCTCCGTGGAACAGGATACATTCAAAGTTTTATACAAAAGCTCAACAATGAATAAAAATATCAGCTAAATATAAAGAGCATGACTCTGAAACAGGAAACATCTCTGTGTGCTTTATGCTAAAACACAGTACCAACTATATATCA